TAGTATTTATGTTAACTTACATTATTTATTGTCGTATACCGTAGTAAATCTTCCCATTGCAAGGTCTAAATCCTCTTCCAGGAAATAGCCCTGAGAATATCATTTGAAGTTTTTATTGCATATGTCTTCATGGCGGGAAAGGCCTCAAATATCCAAATCTACAAACAATATAATAACAAACATTAGTAATTGTTAAATAATTACTTATAATTTTGGAAACATTATATAAAAATTATTACCTTAAAGGCCCAAATAAAGCCTGTCAAAGTGTATTTGGAACCATCGCCATGTAAACTTTTTCGATCATCCAAGGTAGACGATAACTTATTCCATGTAGCTTTCCATAAATACGAGCCCCACGGAAACAGGTTCCACGTATTTAGGTCTTCTACCAATTTGATTAGATCATTCAGAATAGGTTGTCTGGCCTCTCTGCCTAAAAAGCCGGCATGCAAAAGTATTAGAAGGCATACTCGGACAACATCGACGTCATCCATCCAAGTAAAACCATCTTTCTTATTCAATAATATCGTCAGGTCTTCCACGTGTAGATTCGGCCTCTCCAGCTCAGGAAAAACCCGAGATAACCATGATGGGCGGGTAATGTGTCTAGTGTACCGACCTACATCATCGTGTCCGAAGCGTAGACCGGTGATTAAGCAAAACTCCTCCCGCCCAAAACACGTATAGGCCGGTGGAAAATCAAATAATATCTCTTCATCACGACGTTGTATAGTATCTGGTAGATCCCTAGTCATGGTTTGAAGAAACAGGTGTGTCAACATCGCATCTCCACCGGGATGTTGTACTTTCAGCCATGGCCCGAAGCAAGTATCCTCACACATTTTTCTACGTGCAGGTGAAAGCTTCGACGCAATTGTTTTGGCCAGGCTGACTTTATTTCTTAAGGTCAATTGAGCCGAATAAAAGTTATACAAAAACAATAAACATACTAAGTTAGATATACCAAAAACTACACTGTGAAGATATACCAAAAACAATAATAAACATAAAGAGTAGTAGTTTATTCTTCAAACTTAAATTTGCAACACTGTGAATTTCTTATTTGTCTTTGTTTTTTGGTTGAAGTAATGCAATTCATTCAAGTTTCAATTTGCAGAAGAAGAATAGTTTCTGAAAATGAAAATCGCAACACGAAAATGACAATCGCAACGCGAATTTGACTATCGCAACGAGAATAAATCGCGTTGCGATTTTATCGTTGCGATTTTCATTTCGCGTTGCGATTCTCGGTTGATTTAATAAGCAATCTAAGTGAAATGGTTAATCTATTATTGAAATTACCAGTAAACTTATCATCAATTTCAATATGAAAAACCTAATAATAATGCAAAAATTTCAAAAAGAAAATAATTAAAAAAACTAACCCTCGGTGGTTGATTTAGTTGATTTTCCATTTCTGATTGTGAGGGTGGCTCTGAGAGATGGAGATAGACGGATTTCGCCGGAGATGGGGATGGGGATGGATTTCGTCGGAGATGGGGATGGGGATGGATTTCGTCGGAGATGGGTGAGAGAGTGAGAGATGGAGATGGGACTGAGTTGTGATTTTAGGTTTTAGGTTATGAGTTGCGATTACGGGATATATTGTGGACGGTTCAGTGTTCCAATATATTCATATTCGTGTTTAGAATTTGAAAATAAAATACGCGTTGCTATACTAATGGCGCTTTGAAAATCGCATTGCGATTATGTATTATCTCGTTGCGAAAGTCAGTATCGCGTTGCGAAAGTAAGTATCGCGTTGCGAAAGTCAGTATCGCGTTGCGATTTTGTATTATCGCGTTGCGATAGTCAGTATCGCATTGCGATTTTCCCAATTTGCGTTGCGATTTACTTATTCGCATTGCGAATTGGGAAAATCGCAACGCGAAATTAAAAAATCGCATTGCGATAGTCATAATCGCGTTGCGAATCTGGAAACTGATTTGCGATAATGGAGATCGCGTTGCGAATTAGCGATCGCATTGCGATTTTGTTAGTCATTTTGGCAAATCCGGAAAAAGTTGGTTAAAATCGTATATTATATGTGATTTTTGGTCACTGAGGTTATTTTCTCTAAATCAAATGATGAGATTAACAATAAGAGATAAGAAGTGGTTAGAATCTAATTTTATAGTTTTATATCTTTTTAAGATTGATAGACGAAGATAAATCAAATGATGAGATTAACAATAGGATATAAGAAGATATTAACTGGAAAAACTCCGAAGAGTTAATCTCAACATTTGATTTTCTCTTATTCAATGATCTTAAAAATAAGTAAAACTAAAATCTAAGTATAAATAGATCCTAATAATGTATATATATATTAGTAATACTCGGACAGAAACTGCAATAAACAATACAATTAAAGATACAGTTCAAGCCTTGGACCAGTATCAACATTCCTTGCATTGCACACATAATTATCAATATATATATATCTAGTAATACTCGAACAGAAACTGCAATAAACAAAGCCATTTGATCAATTATTTAACAGCAAGGCATGGAAGATGAACTCTTCTTCGCTCTCTCTCTTTTGTTTTCATGGAGAAACAATGGTGTTAAACAAATTAGAGGGCGATCAAGAAGCTAAATAAAAGGTTTCGCTAGCTCGTCCTAGGTCATGGCAAAAAGGTCCATTCTTTCTTGATGCTCGGCTGTTACTTTTATGTTAGCGTGTCATTAATGCTGGTTTGTTATCCAGGATTATGTTTTTCACTTTGATTTTTAGTTGGGATTTAGGATGATGATGATGATGATGAACATCAAGGTGGCTGCTTTGCCTTGTTGACTCTTCTTGATGATCTGAATCCTCTATTATCAATTTTCTTTTTCTAATTTTATTGTTAAATAAAATTTTATATAAAAATATATATTTATTAAAACTTCAACGTTTATTACGTTTTCAATGATGCTCTCAGTAGTAAATCCGCTCTTAGTGGTTAAAATGAGTATTCTTCTCCCTAAATATCTTAAGTATGTCTTATGCTGTGTGTATAATTAAAAAAATTCTAAACATATGATATCTCATAATCATTTTATATTATTAAAAAAATGCTATTAATAGTGTTTTACTTGACGATTTAAACTCTATTATTTCAATTCTTTTGAATAAGTCCTTTTGAATGATTAACTGAGGTGAATGTTTATATTTTTACCTACTTGATGTAACAATGTTAAGTGTACTCCACAATTAGAACTTTTACTACATTTACAACACACATAAGTGGGCTTTTATCTTTTTAAGTCTTGGAAGCCCTTTACACGTGCACATCGTCTATGTAACAGAGGTAATGTACATCAGTAGCCTTTTTTCCTCATACATACCCGTGCAAAACCTAAAACTTGGGTGGCAAGCAAGGGTTATGATTTGCTTACGCAGAAACATTGCGAGGAGAACCAGCTTCATTGGCAGAAGCGTTGGCAGAAGAACCTCCTTGATTGGCCATGAAACGGACCACCAAACAAGTGATGTTATCTGCACTACCCCTCTGGGATGCCTCTTGAATCAGCTGCTTTGCTGCTTGCTCAGGATCCTGTATTGGCTTTACAATTGCCACAGCCTCCTGATCGAAGGCAAAGCTTGCAGTTATTAACTACGCTTGTTTCTTCGATTGCCTTTAAGTAAGCAAACTGTTTCCTACCTCATTTGATACAACGTCCCACAGTCCATCGCTTGCAAGTATAAGGAACTCAAGAGAGCTGTCAACCTTTTCCTCCTGCAATCTCGAAAAGTGATATCGGATTAGAAAACACTCAAAAATCAGTAGAAATCCTAGTACAAAATTAAAATTTAATACCCATATAAATCATAATCATCTGGAATCCTACATAGTTTTCATGCTGGGTTTGTGCATTACAGGTTTCTATCTTAATTATGCTGCACGATTTACATCTCAGGAACTCAAGCTTATTTCAACCAAGTCTTCCAACCAGACCTGAATTTCTGGATCAGCAACTACATACTGCTTTAAGTGCCTGTCACCAAATGCACGAGAAACAGCAAGAACACCTCCCACTCTCCAAGTTCCTACAGAGATAGTTTTCAGCCACAATAAAAAGAAGAATTAAAAAAGAGATCAGTATGGCATGTATAAGGAACTCAAGACAGGAAGGAGAAATGGATAGATGTACACCAGCCCACATGACAAACCCTCCTGCATTCTCAATCCGTTGTCGCTCATCACTTTGATCGGGCTTGTGATCGCGAGACACAGCAATAGCTGAATGAGGACATACAATAGACAAGCCATGTATAAAATTCAATTCAGCAATCAAATAATCCATTAACAAGATAAACAACAAATTCACAAGTACAATAAATGGGTGAGGGCAATTATATATGATTACATTGTTTTAAAACGTTTGAAGTTATACAGAAAATATATAGAAGCCTTGTGAGTTTTTCATGTTCCAGGTAAAGCCAAAGCCAACTTCATGTGTTGTCAGAGATGAGATGAAAATAAAAGAAAGAAAAAGGGAAAAAAAAAACCCACGACTCTTACCATTGCCTCCTCTGCAGATAACAGCTCGGGAATCACCAACATTTGCAACTAGCAAACGGTCACCGACAAGTATAGCAGTTGAAGCAGTCGATCCAGCATCCCTATTCTGGTTATTTTCTGACTTTAAAAATTCAGAGTCTGTGTGATTGTATGCATCAGCTGGAGGTTGGAAACAATTTCAAAGACAAGTTAACAAATGACCAGCCCACTAGAAAAGTCACAACCATATGATACAGTAATTATAAGTGAATACCTATAGCAGACTTGGTGTCAGATATGAACTTTGGATGCTTGATCAAATTACTAAAAAGGTGGCGCTTCACATATTCAGCAGCCCGTACACCTCCGTGACCTGAAACAATCATGCTTGTAAAGATTGATTTAACCAATTTGCAACTAAACATAACTAACCAGCAATTGCAGTTTTTACATTACTTGGCGAAGATATGATTTTCATTGTTGCATGGTAAAACCAACTACTCTATGGCAGAGTATAATGTCACAAACTGCCTCAATATAAAATTTATAGTTTACCAAGGTAATGCTCCATCCTAAGCCAATAACAGCCTTAAGAAATGGCTTCAAGGACTGCTACCACAATGACATTGGAGCACATAACATATATCAGAATCTGCATAAATTCTTTTCAGATGCATTCTCCGCATTTAGACTACCGTGTATCATTACAAGTTGGTATAGGAGATTATTGTCCGGCAATCTTAATCACTTAAGCATACAGATTAGAGCAAGATTAAAGGGGCAAGGCTTAATTTTAAAACAGAAGAGATCGTGAACAGAGAAAAAGAATTACCAACCGAAGGAAGGGTACAGCAAAGGAGATTATTGATCCCTCATACACACTCTTTAAAGCAGATATAACAACCACTATAGATGTTACAAAGTATTTACCTATATATGTTAGTAAGTTATGCATTTCATGCATGCTTGCAAGAGCGTGTGTAAGAGTGAAAGATGCACAAGAGTTAGAATATACCATCAAATACTCCAAAAAGGCCAACTATCTCTCCATCAACACCATCAATCATAGTTTCGTAAAAATCCTCCATCGAAGACCTCTTCCCTGGGGAGCTTGCATAGCCATAGCTGAACTTTCCATTCTGACTGTTGCCAGAAAATAGGGGAAAATTTTAATTTAGATATTGTCCAAATCATTGCATCATTTAACAAAATTATTTAAGTTCAATAAAAATATGGCAAAAATTGGGGGTAGTAATTTGCAAATAAAAAAAGAGCATCAATTGAACAAAATTTTTAGATAAAGGCAAAGAACAATGACAGAAGAAGAAAAGGCAGCAACCTAAGCCCTCCGCCACAGACAGGTCGAACTTCATGAACCTGGCTTGAAGATTGCAAAACCGAATTCAGATATCCCATACTATGACTGAAGTTTATCGAATTTTGACGCTTTAGCCCTTGTATCCAAATCAGGAAATAGCAAAAACATGTGCATTCGACAATATAAATTTTAGCAGATGAAAGAAAAGGAAAAATCAGCCTTCAGATTTGGAGGATCATCTTTAAATTGAGCCAGCTATGAATCATAACCTGCAAAAAATAAAAATTGCCAGAGCCAAATTCAAGACCAAGTTTGAACTGCATAGATCGTAATTCATAACCTCTCAATCTCGTGCATAACATTTCAAATAAAGCCTCAAATAAACACAACTAAATAAAAAATTAACTGAAGGCGAACCTATCCAAAGCAATAAATGAACGTTTAGTTTGTAATACCTCGATGAATGAGAAGGAAAAGGGGAAATGAAATGAAATGCATAATAACAATTGTGAAGGGGGAAGGGGAAAAGGCAAAGTAAGCTCATAAAAAGCGTTTTTATAGGGAAGAAAAAGACGAGACTTACAAATGGAGATTAGCAGCTGACGGTTTTAAAGAGATGAAATGATTTTTCTCTCTGTTTGGTTACCGGCTGGAGTCAGGAGAAGTAATAACTGAAGTCGGGGATGGACCAAGTCCACCCAACTGCCCTTATTTAGGTGGTTGATCGTTGAAGCATACAGGTGGTGCACATGCAGAGGAGAATACAGTACGTCCCTTTGTTTTTATTTTTTAGAGTAAATACTCTTTTAGTCCCTCAACTATTTATGTGATTCTATTTTGATTGCTTATCTATTTTTTTTTTAAATCATACATGTACGTTTTTGTTCCATTTGATAACCTGTTGTTAAAACTAATCAGAACTACTTATGTGACGTTCTTTATTTTCTCACTGATGATGTGGGATTACATTATGATAATATGTCAGTATCATCATTAATTTTTTTAATGATTAGTGATCAAAGTATAACAAAAATATAAGTTTAATTATGATTTTAAAAAAATAATTGAGTGACCAAAATAAAAATATGCATATAGTTGACTACTACATACAAAACTAAGCATATAGTTGGTCACCCAACTATTATTTAATTTTTTTATTACTCAATTATTTCTTTTAAAATTATATCTAACGTTACATATAGATTCTTTTTTACTCACCCGTCTTTAAAAAGTAACAATGTTATTGATGTATCATTTTAATTAATTTTCAATACTAACGTAATATTGGGGGAAATATTATCCATCGTTGCCTCTGGGAGCCTCTGATCCTCTTGAGGGGTCTGATCCTCTTGAGGGGTGCCCCTCCTCTTACTCGTCTTTTTTTGGTTCCGCCTTCTCAAATTAAAGCCCCCAAGCTACGGTTCAGGAGTTCACTACACAGGCGGGAGGATGGAACCTTGACCAGCTTAATTATCTCTTTGATGAGGATCTCATTCAGTGGATTCGTGGTGTGCCGTGGCCAAACGATGCTGTGGCGCCATCAACCTAATGGCCGATGTACGATCCATTCAGCTGCTGCCATCTTACGTCAAGAGGATAAGTCCTTAAATGATAACATTTGGGGTTTTGCGTGGGACTTTGAGGGCCCCCAACGGATAAAGCAACTGCTGTGGACTACGCTCTATCAGAGATTAATGACCAACGCTGAGCGCACCAGACGAGGCATTAACAATAATCCGAGCTGTCCGAGATGTGGAGCCGCTGAAGAATCAACGCTTCATATTCTCCGGGACTGCTACCAAGCACATCATATTTGAAATCAGCTGCTTCCTATTCATCTAAAGCCCTTTTTTTTGTCCTCTCCTACTGTTTTGGATTGGTTGCAATTTAATCTTATTACTCTTGCAGATTCCAGAACTCAAGATTGGTGGTGGAAGCACCTCTTTGGAATTCTCCTATGGAAGCTCTGGAAAAATCGAAATGATTTCGTTTTCAACCAGAAAGTTCGAGCAGTGATGGATATTATTCAGTCGGCTACGGCTTGGGCAGGCATGGTCATGAAAACTCACCAAAACAAGCCCACCGATATTACATGCAGAGAGCAGAAGCACTGGAGACCCCCTCAAGTTGGTCATTTTAAACTTAATACAGATGGCGCCGTATCTCACTTGACTATGAAGGTTTCTTGTGGTGGCGTTATTCGCTAATTGGCTTCTCAAGGAATATTGGCTACGCATCCATCCTTTAAGAGGAACTTTGGCTACGCATCCGACACCTGGAGCTTGAGACTAGCAATTTGGAAGCTTTTCGCCTTCTCATCTCCTCAAATGGCTCCACCCAATTGCCCATTATCCGAAGAATAAAGCTTCTCACCAAGCTCCCTTGGTCCCTAAAGTTCAAGTATACGCTTCGTGCAGACAATAAACCGGCCGACAACATGGCGAATATTGGCCGAGATCTCAACCAGAACCTCCAGATTTTTTATCAGCCCCTACTGAAGTGCAAAGAACTCTCAACGACGAGCGCAATGCTTTGTACTTAAGGCACCACCACTGAGCTCTCTCGTGGTTTATTTTTGTCACCAAAAAAAAGAGATTGTCATAACGTAACATTTTAACATCATCGTTACTTTTTCAATGATAAGTAATCAAAACAGTACCAAAACATAATATTAAATATGATTTTGACAAAATAATAATTAAATTATAAAACAAATTAAGTAAATAGATAATTTATCCTTCTAATTATTTTAAAAAAAGTTCGTTGTGTAGAAATCAATCAATATATATATATATATATATATATATATATATATATATATATATATATATATCCAAGCACAAGATAAGCTATTGAGTGGTCTGGATATTTAGAATGGAACAGAAATTAATAATAGTAATTAATGAATGATTAAAGTCTCTCTCTGTCCACGTATGATCTAACTATAAATTTATTGAATCCAATTCCCTTTGCCTCAGATCATGGCAATTGTTGCATTCCGTGTAAGACATTTCATGTGCCATTTTATATATGAAAATACAGAAATATATATTGGATTAAATTTGATACTTATTTTTTTTTTGGTAAACTACGCATTTAGTATCTAAATTATCATTTTTGATATATTTTAATACCTAAACTTTTAATTTTTTCAAAGTCATGCTTAAATTTTAGTTTTTGTTTCATTCTAGTATCCCGTCATTAAAAACTTTAGTTTTTGTTTCATTTTAGTACCATGCTCAAAATTTGAAATTAGGTTTTGAAAAAATTAAAATTTTAAGTATTAAAATAAATTAAAACTGATAATTTAAATAGTAAGTATATTAAGTTTTAACTGTGAGTACTAAAATGAAATAAAAATAGTCTACCTAAACCATGACCCACACACACACACATATATATATATATATATATATTATGTCAAAAAAATTATATTAGTCTAGTTGATATATTTTTCTATATTCACTTTAAATATATAGTTATTATATTTTTTAGATAAATTTTTAGGCATAATGTTAAAATTAGTCCCTAACATTTATCAAAATGATAATTTTGTTCTCTGTTCTATTTTTTTAGTATTTTAGCTCCAACAATTTATTTTAGGGAAAATGGTATCTATTTTTGACTGAATAGTCACTTTGACCCTTATTTTTTTTAAGAGTATTTAGGCTTCCAATGGTTCATTTTAGGGTAAAAAGGAACATTATTTTAGAATGTTAATCGTTTGTTAACTGACGGTTTTCATCTATGGATGAATTTTCTAATCCCAAAATTAAAATTTTGGTAGCTAATTTTATTATCATTACAATTTTTTTCTTATATTTATATTGGCTCACCCAATAAAGTTATTTATGTATTCGTTACTGGTCATATATTTTAAATATTGTTTATGTATTTTCTATTAAAAATTTGTTTACGTCCTCTAGAATTTTATAAATTCAAATTCTCTCTAACATAAGATCCTAAGTCCGTCCCTGGTTATAATCAGCTAAAAGTACTTATGATTTGAAAGCCATACAAAGCCATATCTTTTTATAATTGTTCACAAATTGCAGCATGCATTTTATTTTCGAAGGTTAATGGGTAGAAAAGAGCAGAGAAGTGTCCAGTTAAATAGTAAAGATAACTTTTACTAGTGTATATAGATTGTTTCAATCTTAAGCCAACATTTCTATCATATGAATTTTGATTCGATTTGACTGCTAACTTGAAGAATTTTCTTCTCATTCAGCTTTGTAAAACTTATGTGCATCCGCCTGTAGTAAACCCAAGCTTCCCTCCAGCACCATCGTATACCACTTGCAGTGTCCTTTGCTGTGTATTCCCAAAGATTCCTACGTCCGTGTCATCACTGTTGCCTGCAAACGCCAGGCACACTTGTGAGATACCATTGGCGTACAAAATTCCGTTTTCGTCGATCGGAACCTCGACGTCGCCGCTGAAGAAGATGCTTATCTCAGGCACGTTAACAGAAGTGAAGTTGGTGAAGTCGTAGCATGTGTCCAGGATTGAAAGTGGTTGTGCCATTGGATATTGGCTCATCAGTTTTTTGAATTCAGAGCTCAGTGCTGAGTAGGCCATCGGTGGTAGCCGAGTGATGACGGTTCCGGAGTCGATTATAGCGCCACTGGCAGTGAAAACAGAGGCGGAAATCGGTAGTTTTTTGCCACCAACGCTTATTCCGACAATGTCGATTCCGTAAAAGGATGAGCTTTGGGAGATCGTGGACAATGCTGTGAATTTTACCGATTTCGATACGCCGCCGTCTCCAAAATTGAGGAAACCGGTTGAGCTTGAGGATGACGGCAAACAGTAGGAGAATAATTTCTTGTATTTCATGTCGGTCTGCGAAGGTAAAGACAATTTATCTCGGCCAAGTCCAAGCAAACCGGCTGCTCTTCCAAAAAGACCTTGATTGTTTTGGCCACAACCGAATAAAAAGTCATCGAACACATCGGTTGGTGTCAAGGTGAGCTTTTCTTTAGCGAAGATTCCGACCGAGAAAGACGAATCTCCGTATTGGATGCCATAGACACAAGCTGCTGATGAACATCCAGGCCTATTTCCCGTCGCAGAAACGAGTGAACTGCAGGTCGGTGAAGTACACGAAATGTTGGAATACGTTGAGGATTGTGATGGGGCAAAAATTTCGTCCTGCTGTTTATAGCAACTTCCAGCGCAAGGCTGACATTGTGTCCATGTAATGTCACTTCCGGTATCAAATATTAGAGTTAAATCCTTCTTCGGGTTGCCTAGACCGATGGTAACGACATAATTGCCAACTCCGACCGAACTTCCATCCTTTGCTGGGAGGCTGGCTGCATCTGTCTGGTCGAGGTCGAGGTCGGTGGAGTGGCCTCGGTTCTTGGCGAGTTTGGAGCGAATGGACTTGACCCGGTCTTCATCTTGGAGGAGGATCTGGGCGTGAGTGGGAATATTTGATTTATCTTGATAGAGTTGAGAGCATGGACCGTGCTTGTGAACGACTTGTAAAGATGACTTGTTGTCTAATGCTGAAAGTGAAAGACATGCATCACAAATACAAATACGCAGATAACAGAGAAAGAGATGGGAGTAATTTACCTTTGGTTGCAGAGCTGCAAATAGAGGAAGGTAGAAGAGAGCTCAGTTGGATGGTATGGCTCTCTACCGTTGCTTTTCGTCCCAAGGCATAGCCCTCCTTCAAACAGCAGATAAGCCATACAACAACAATAACATAAGCAGAGAGGTGAACGATAGTGGCACCCATGCTCCTACCTGCTTAATTTCTCATCCTGCCACCTATAGATATATATACTCTGCCTACCGATCTGGAAATATATTTTTGTGTGGGCACACATATATTAATCACACAAAACTTTTATATAAGGCTGGTGCAACTAAAATTTCATAGTGGATACATCTATTAAAATATGCAAGTATCAGAAGAAAATTCGTATTCCAAAGTCAATCCCACCCCGAATCTACCATTATAATTAGGGATGAGAGTTGCGTCGAGGTGATGACATACACAATAATTTCCCTAAAAAATTTAAATTCTCTTATAAATTATATATATATATATATATATTGTATTTTGTATTCATAAATTGTTTACATTCTCTTAAAAGTTTATAATCATGTTCTGCTAACACAAAATCTTATATTTATCTCTAACTTAGCCTTTTAAGCCATGGGTCACCCATTCTTACACGTCATCCTTGAATCAAGAATCATATTACACAATCAACAAACAACACTCTTACTATGTGTGTTCAGACATAGCTTGATCTATGTAATTTGTCAGCAGCTGGCTAATATGAAATATAAATAACATGGTGGGGGTTCCATTTTGTCTTGTTTGTATTGTATACGACAACGATCAAGCTCCCAAGTAACTTTCTTTGTATGTCTTTTAGTATTTCCAATTTTTTATATAATTATGTGAATCAAACTCGTTACAGCCTTTTTCTTATTTGTCTTGCAAATTTCAAATCCATCCAAATTGAGGCTAAAATCTTGAATTAAAATGAAGACTTGATATAATCTTAAATTCACATCATTAAATGGACTAAAAGTTCATGTTTAAATATTAAAAAAAATACCAAATTTTGAATTTAATATAAAAATAAATAAGGTCCAAATTAGAATCACCCTCATATACTAAGTTGAAGTTGCTTGGAAATTCCATAAATATTGTCAAACTTTTTGGACATCATTGTCAATGCCTGGTAAGACATGCAAGCAGTAGGGTCTCTCAACTTGGTTATATGAACACTAAACAATTAAGTCCTCAATTATGTGCTTGGAAACTAGCACAAGGTAGTGGCCTAGTAGGCAATGCATTAGTATAGTTGGAATCTTTTGCTAGTGATGGGTATTAATGATTGGAAATTTGGAATCATGTTTGGTTATAAAAGCCAACCAACGTTGCCTTTGGTGATTGAAAATTGAAAGCTTGGAGTCTTCTCTTATGCCCCCACGACAAGTGAGTCTGATGGGTTAACCACTTATCATCATATAAATCTTCAAACTTTCATACACTAATTTTTTCTTTGGGTCCATTCCCCCCCCCCCCATTTTTTTTGTTTTCATACCAATAATCTAGCTGGAACTGAAAGTGTTTTTCCTTTCTTCTTTAGTGGGATGCTAATGGCACTAGCTAATGAAATACAAGAATAAAGCATTACACGACGTCAAAACAATTTTACTTGTAGATCCACTGAGGTTTTTGCCTAGGATTTAATCAACCATGTCACCTTCAAAAATATTTCTGGATGCACAGTTGTGTTTCTAGGGAGTCGAATTCACACTCATTTATGAAATTTGAAAACTCCACTGTTTTGCAACAAAATCAAATTTTCCCAATAATAAGAAAAGTACTACCTCGAACATAATTTTAGATTTTTTATGTTAATCCTTTCTCAAGTCACAAAATAAAACAAACCTATGTTCATAATCATGTCATGTGACATGTTTCATAAAGTTTAAGATAAAAACTGTGGTGTTCTCCATCTGCAAAAGAAAACAGAACAAAACGTCTTAAGTTCCATCGGCCTTCCTTTAAGTCCACTCACCACCTCCATAAATTGATCATGGTACCGAAGATGAACAAACACGTTATTATATAGGAATGCCTCCGCCCGAATACTCTACCTCCTGAAAATGTTATCAATTTAAAGCTAGAGTTTGTAAAAATGCTCTGTAGAACACCAGTTATAGCATTAAATGGCTTATCTGCTAAATCCAATATCATCACATGTTACTTGATCAAATGAAATATTTCATTAATCATGTACCTTCCTTAACAACAGGAAAAAGAACTGAACATAAACTTTGCACGAAGGAAAAAAAAGGGAAAACTGATCAACCTGAGCAGGGGGCAAGGATGACACCCAGTCTGATGCATGTGTTGGAAGAAGTCCCAAAGTGTTGAGCTGCCAAAGAAAGAAACAAACAAAATGAACAATATTAAATAACTCAGGTTTTGTTCCCTTCCTTACTCTCAATAATCTTCACAGGGGAAAATCGTTGGGAACTCTAAGAAAAAGAAAGTGCAACTCACCTTCCAAACACCAAGTGCTAAACCACCCAAGTTAAGGGCAATGAAAAGCAACTTAGGTCCAAGAAGTTCTACTTTACTGTCTTTATAAGGCTCAAAAACTGCAGAAAGTAAAATTTGGATGAATCAACTTAGAAATGGAAATAGCTGACCATAAATCCCAAGCATATATGGAGCAAAAACAATGAAGCTACTATAGAAACATACCAGATAGGTTTCTTCTGAATGCTTAAGTGGCATTCATTAGTAATTTAGTACTATACACTTATAAAGGGTTAACTATTTCATCCTTGGTTAAAGCATCTTTTATTCTTAGGCACCTTATTCTTTCCTCTTTCGACAAATGAACCACTCAAAACTAAATAGAACAAAGAACACAGCAAAAGGCAACAACAATGTAATAACACAGGATAACAGAAAGATTAGTAGTAAGAGGCCACTTACCTTTCCCAACACCTTGAAGAGCACTTATAGGCTGCCAAAGTGCAGAAAAAGTGATACCAATGCTAAAGAGATGCACTGTATTTCCAGCCATCCACATCATGAAACCCATCATTAGCAAGTTCTTGAATGGTGCTTGTGCCACTTCCCAAGCTTTCTGTTCAACAGTAAAATAAACATAATCTTAATAACAGATTTTGATAGGTTATCTATCATACTAATGTATGTCTCCTTTTACCTAATGAAACTAACCGCAAAAAACGAACTCTTACCTAAAGGAACACCTAAACCAGCTAAAAGGATAGTGTTACATACTCTATCTTGCCTTCAAATAGTATTTCATATATGCATCAGACAAACACTAGACCTAAATCAAATGGCAACCCTCAGTCATGCACGAAGAGAAGACATCTATATTCAATCTTCCATGCCTTCCCTTTATCTTCCCTTTAACTATCAACTCAATGCACTCTAAACTCTGACATACATACTGAACTCAGAAGTGATTTAGGGTCACATATATAATAAAGGAACGACATCGATGATCCATTCATCACAACATAGGTAGTAGCTTTCTGCTCTGCCACAGACCTTAGCAAATTATTTCTGAGCACGCATCATCTATAAATATTGTAAATGAGGACCCTAACACAGAAACAATTATCATACGTACCCTTTAGAGAATGTCAGGTAATCATCCCCAGTAACTAACACCCTTAGGTGCAACAAGAAAAAACCCAGATGCTAAAACTCAAACTGAATTCCCTAAACATCCATTATGCTTATTCATGACTTGCAATGGTAATTTCTCACTTAAATCCATTAGAAAGTTATCCATTGATTTTCATCTACTTCCATGGTTAAATCACAACAAAGTTGAAAACTTCAAATCTTTAAGATCCAAAAGAAAATTAATTATAATTGATTTGAAGTTTGGGACCAATTTAGAAAATAAATTTCAACCGTTACTTAAGCATCTTCTTACTTCTCTCGTACCGAGAAAAATAAAACAAAAAGTACCTGAGCTTTCCAATTGGATTCAGCATCCTTCTTTTGGCGACTCACAGTCGAATCGTCCTGCCAAAATACAAAGTGAAACCTAATAAAAATTGAAAGTTTATGCACTTATTAAAGAAAAAATTTTTAAAAAAAAGAAGGGAAACCTGATCCACAGAGGCACGAGTGAAACCGAGGGGGTCGAGGATGTCACGAGACGAAGGAGCGGTGGAATTATCGGAGAAATCAACGGCCCATCTTTGGCCGGACCCCATTACTCCTTTGCCTTTCTCCATCTTTCTTTATTCTTTTCTTTTCTGTTAATATTTCTGGTTGTGGGTTATCTAGGTACTTACCTAGAGTATCGATACCTTCCGCTGTGGTATCAGTACTTATCTAGGTACTGATATTAAAATGACTTACCTAAATTTGAGTTAACCTTTAAGTATCGATACTAAGTCTTGATTATCGATACTTCATGTACAATATCAATACTACAAGAATAGATATAGATACCTGATTGCAAAAATCTTTTAGATTGTTCTATCTAAACGAACAATATTGATATTGTTTATACAATACCAATAATCTAAACTCAGAAAGTCATATTTTTCTCGTGTAAAACTTCTCAAATCATTCCTAAGGTCCCTTTGTAACTTCCAAACGATGTTTAAAACTTATAGATGATTAGAGAATCATAAAAAGTCATTTCTTTATGCATGAATAATATCTAACACCCATTTTCATGCTAATAACCAAATGCACACAAATGTTCATGAACACATACACGCAATCATACTTCACATGCTGAACTACAAGCATTATAAGAGTATTAAGAGCGTATTACCTTTCTACAAGAAGTTGGAGCATCACCTTAAGCTCACCCAAGCACTATTTTTTCTTTTGCTTTGTTTTTGGAACCTTCTCTCACTTATCTCACTTCTCTCACTAGAATAATCAATGAAGTGAATTATTAACTCATCTAAGAACTTAAAAAAGATAAGAACATAATCATTAAAGTTTAGGAATGATTTAGAGTCACCCACGAGTTCTAAAACACAAAACGCTTTCTAAACTCCACTATGGCCACCAAGATTTTCAAACTTACCTCTAGAATTTTGGCCTAGAGATTAACACCAATGAAGTCTTCGCCTTTGTTCAAATCACCAAGAAAAAGAAAAGAAAATCTGAACGAGAAATAATCCAAAAGATTAGGAAAAAAAGATATGAGAAAGTCATCGTTTTTTACTGTTTTCTATGGTTATCAGAACTGGACCGGTTAACGAACCGGTAATGTTACCGGTTC